AACTTATGGAGCAGGGAGAATATATTGTTCTGCCCGCAATTTAAAAAAGAGACAATGTCTGGTCAATTTGAAGAATTGATATATGCATGTTCTATTGTGTATATACTCAGCAATTATGGTGATTAGATGGGGGACTTGCTAAAAACTTTGACTCTGTTGGCAATTTGAAATATGGTGTTTTGTTATGAAGGCTTCCCCCGAACACAGAGTATTAAACAGCATTCCTAGCCTCTAGAGGGCTTCAAAAAGTTCATGGAAAAATGGAATTCAAAATTTTAAATGCAGTCCAATGCAGAAGCCTCACCATCACGAAGGCTTCTTAATGACATGAGACATGTGTTGTGGGTTACGAATTGAACTGCTAACTGTACAATCAACAGTTTGAGACCACCAGCAGCTCCTCAGAAGAAATGGTGAAGCTTCTACTCCTGTAAAGATTTACTCTCAAAGAAAATCAGAGGCTCTGTCTCAACAGCAGGGGTTGGAAGCTTACATATACAAGTACACATGAGCACAGACATTTTACTTGCTTATAACTACAAACGATAGTTTTGAAAGTTGCGGGCTTATTTGAGAACTGCTAGAGAGATGGAGCCAAAGCATTGAAAAATTAAATAAGGCATAATCAAAGCTATAATGGAAAAGATCTAAGTCTACTAAAATGTTAAGGTGAAAACAAGATATTGCTTCTGCATGGCCAAGTAAGATTCTCCTACATACACTATAACCTCTAGAGAAAGGGAAGGAGGGTGTGTGTGTGTGTGTGTGTGTGTGTGTGTATCAGTCAAGCACAACTATATGAAATCAGAGCGAATAAAAGAGACAGAGATCTAAGGAAACAGGAAACAAGGATGTCACTGGTGTTGATTATACCTGTTAGCCAGAGGCAGGCTCTCAGTGTCAGGGGAACGCTTTCTGGTATAAAGAACAAGAGGAGTTTGGGGAAGGCTGCCAGATATGAGAGAGGAACCTCAGAAAGAAAGCCAGAAACTGCCCAAATCTCTGGCTATTCCAGTGTATGTGGTTCAAGGACAGTTTCTAAAACCACCTACCAGGATTAGAGATCTAAAATGGTGTTTGAGCTGCAGTGCTTGCAGCTGGTGGTTCGAACTGCAGACCATGCAGTTCGCAGCCCAATGGTAACTATACCACCAGAGATCCTGTTGCACCATCGGGGTGCTTTAAAAGTTTTCAAATGGACAAGAATGAAGATGGCCTCAAGGGCCTGTGGAATAATAGCACAAGACTTAACATATACCATAACACGAGTTTCAGAAGGGGAAAGGACAATATAGACTATTTGAAGAGATAATCAAAAACTCTCCCCAAATCAATCAGACAAATTATGGTTTCAGGAATCTTAGCCAACCCCAAGTAGGCTAAAAGACCTTGCCCAGTCATATAATAGTGCAAAAGCTGAAAAACAAGGACAGAGAAAACATATTACCTATAGGGGGAAATAATTCAAACACATCTGACTTTCCATCTGAAATAAATGAAAGGCAACAGTAGAACAAGACCTTTAAAGTACTGAAAGAAAACACACCCTGAAAGCACAGAATTCTATATGCAGTGCCAGTATTCTTAAAAATGAAGGTGAAATAAAAACTATTTGTAAGTACAGAGAAACTTCAGCAGATTTGCCACCAGCAGATCTACACTATAATACAGAGGCCAAGAACTTAACAGATAAAGTAGTCTATTGACTTCAAATATTTGAAAGAATTATGATTCTTTTCATAGCCCACAAAAACCAAAACATTAAATGCTCATCTTATCTAAGTCTTTCATTTTGCTGATGAGTAAGACAAAGGAATTGAAGACTTTAAGATTATGTAATTACAAAAGCATCAGTAGAAAGTCTCTTGACTTCTAGGGTTAAAACAATGAAGAACATAAAACATGAATTAACTTTATACAAGTCAGCAAACAGTAATTCAGTGAACAGTATGCCTTTGGTAAATTGGTATCACTATTACTCTATAACTTTATAAAAAAATGACATTCTCATTCTGTTCCCTACAGGATTTAAATTACAGTATGATGTTTTGGTCAATAATCCATTTTTGTGCAAATTCAAAAATTTCATTTTTCTAATTAAAAAAGAAATGACATTTCTTACAACCAAAATGAGGGTCTTTGTTAAAATATCCATGAAATAGAATTATAGTAATCATGGTATCAAAAACACTATAGATTTACTTTATTGAACAAAGTACTAATTTTGCCACCTCTGCTCCATCAGAAAGTGCCAGAGAACAGAAACTGCATCTAAACTGCTATTGGTTTTTATATTTAATAAAAATGTTTAACACATTATCTCTAAGAGTCCATGGAACACTCTACGACTGAAATAAAAGCATCAGATTAAACGCAGTGCTCCAACCCATAAACTAGGTGCATAATGAGGATGAATCACACATCTTTAGGAACTTAATCCAGCAAAACAAGGTATCATGGGTCTCCGTCTGTATTGGGTTGGCATGCCCTTAGAACACATACATCTGATGCTTTGCTTAAGTACTTACTCCAACAGCTGGGACTTCTTCAGCCTTTACTTCATTTACTCGAACCAAATAGTTAACAAAGTCTCTGGCAGCATTGCTCTGTGCATCTTTTTTATTGGTGGAATTGCCCATGCCAGTGTAATTAAATCCTTCTACCCGAACCTTTAACAGCCCAAAAAAAAGAAGAAAAAAAAAGAGTATTAAGTGTTTGAACTGGATAATACTAAGTTTACAATTTCTTAATTCAAGTGTCTATTATAACAAATAGCTAACTACCGTACTGGAAATAGATTCTATAAATACACATCTAAGAGCATCATGGACTACCTTATAAAAGGTTTAAATTATATGGCCCAACAAATAAACCCCCCAAATAACATTAATTTGTGCAGCTTGGTACTAAGAAAACTGAGCAACAGGGCTGTAATTAGAACTTATTTATCTGATTCAATTATAGAATAGGGACAGGTCATAATAAAGAACGACTCCTCCACAATCTGCAACACATTTCTACAAAGAAAACATTTTAACAAAATCTCACACGAGCCTCAAACATCATAAATATGTGAAGTGTATTCTCTAGTACCTCACACATGAACTTCTGCCTGTTTTTGTTTCCCACGGCTCTAATTTCATAGGCTGGCGCTATCTTCCTTTTGCCACACCAGGCATATAGAAAATTTTTAATGTCACCCATGATTCAAATGTCTTCTTCAGACCTACAAAAAAGTCATTTAGAAACAGATGATTAAAAGCAGTAACTGGAAATGACAAAAAGTGACAAATTTTAGGCTAAGCACAAACTATCGTATCTTAACTATTAAACTGCCTATAAAGAAATTCTTGACATAAATAAAAAGTTTGACATTGCAAGAAAAAGATGAAACCATACAATTTTAAATACATAAAAGTATGTATTCATAAATCAAGACTAAAATACTTTACAAAGTGATTACCCTGGAGTGACTAAGAATGATATGCACCTTTAAAAATACTTTTATGGGAAAAACTATTTTTATGCCCTACTTTCTACAAACAGCACCGTGTTTAACTCCATCAACCCTCCTAACAAAGGTCATTTTGGGCACCGTCCTACGGTACTTGCTTTTACAGAGAAAAAATTTCAGGCTTAGAAAAGTTGACCGATTTTTCCCAGTCACTCACTGTGGAATCCCAAATTCAAACCCAAACAACTTTAGTAAGAAATAAATCATTGTTAGTAAAACAAGTGATCTGCTTTCATTTTGATGACTGCTGGATTATCTACAATGGTGCAGAATACAAACAAAATCCCAAGTATACATAAAGAGGTCTCAATGTACAATGTTTGCAAGTTTCCAAAATGTCCAGTTAGCTCTAAAATGGCTACATCACTTCAATCCTCTTTAAGGTCAACACTCAAAAGTGCTATCCTATAATTCACCTTTCAGTTCTTAAAAATGCCTGCACCATATATTAAGTTTTTAAAAAATGCTGAAAAGGAGCTAATTGATGGGATTTTTCCTAAAGTTATCTTTTTCCTACAGTTACCAATAATAGTAATGTAATATGGAACACTCTTGGGGAGCAGTCAGCCTCTTTACTTTCCATTAGTCATGTGCTTGTATGTATGCAATTATTAATAAATTGCTAAATATCTTCTGGTTGGGGTTCACTACTCTGATAGTTAAAAAAAAATCTGTTGCCAAAGGTAAGGTATATCTTTCCTTCAACCGTGCTTATCCATTAAAACTTGAGGAACATGTTTCAAGCGTGTGGTTTATCAAGGTACTTGGAGAAATGCCACACTTAAAACACCACCTACCAAGCCCCCTCCCCCAACTTACTGGAAATCCAAACATATAGAGGAAGCCAGTCTTAATTATGGGAGAAAGACGTGGCTTTCATTTCCTGGAGAATTCGTGCCGGAAAATCCAGGGGCAGCTCTACCTGTGACTTACAGGGTTGCTATGGGGGAAAATGGACTCAATGGCTGTGAGTTAGGTTTATATGTCTAAATTACAAGCAAGATAGAATTCTGACATTAGAACTAGAGAAAATATGCTATAAAATTTGCATTCTGTAAGAAATATCCACCATCAGCATTAAACTTTTGTCTTCTGTCCATGCTTTATGCATTTTGTTAACACCCAGGTAACAAATAAGATCTTGGTAAAAATTGGTTACTGGTTAACCATTTGGTGAAGGACATCCAAGCCACTGGAAGTGACAGAATTCCTCATACTGGGGGTTGAACCTAGTTCCCCCCTTAGTGAAAACTGGGTCCTCAAAGCTAGACTACTGTATATGGGAAGGAAGCTTGGTGGTTCACTAAGTGGTGCGTGGTAACCACCAGGTGAGCTGTTCAAAACCACTAGCCTCTCTGTAGGACAAAGACCAGGCTTTCTGCTCTTGTCGAGATTTACAGCCTCGGAGAACCCTATAAAGCCACCCTGAGTCAGAATCGACTCCCTGGCACCGGAATGCTGCCAGTGTATAACTGCACATTCCACCTGAACAGTAAAACCAGCTCTTCCTGGTGGTTCACTAACAAAATATGGAACACACTATCAAATTCTTATCTTCTTAACGAGTCTCATCTAACCTCCAAACATCGAATTCCAACTAGAATCTAATGTCCAATAGCTTTCTCTTTGCACTCCCAAATCATTAATTTACGCAATTGTCATTTGTGTCCACTTGACAATACAAAGTTTAAAAATTAATAACTTTCTTCCCAAACTGGTCTTGGTTTCCCCCACTTATAATCACAATCAGCCATTCGCTCCCTCTAGCTCCTCCATAACAAGTTACCACGTGCCAAACGGTATCCTTGGCGCTTGGTCGTCATGAACTTAATTCTGACAACTCGATAGGTACCATTACCTTTTGTAGAGAAGGATACTAAGACAAAGAAACCACTTGCCACAGCAGACAGAAATTGACATTGGCGGCGCAAGAGTCTGACTCCAGATCTGACCCACCAACGCTGCAAATCGGCCCCCCAAATGTCTCCAATCCGTTCGCTTCTCTATCATCACTGCACACCTACGTCACGGCGACGTGTCCTAAAAGGATCCCATTGTTGCTACCTAAAATCTGTTCTCCCATTCTTCTAGCCACCCCATCCCCCACGCCCCTATCTAACCCCGCCTCTGGGCGCTAACCACCCTTGGGCTCCCGCAACTCCTCCGCACCGCTGACGCATTTCGGAGTGGCTCAAATGTCAGCCTCCCCCGAGACGCCTGCCCTTGTCCCACTATCGAAAACAGCTTTCTGCCATTACACGCCGGGCTCCTCGTTTTCACAAAAGCCTGAAAAGATTTTTCTCTTGTCTGCTGCCCTCACGCGACCGCAACCTCTCCGGCGCGGCCAGGCGCGTGGCCGACGTGCTCCCGGCGGCACACCCCGTGCCCGGAGGGTAGCAACGATCGTTCCCGGCCGGAATGAATGGCCCCTGGGCGTGGAGCGGCGGCTCCACCGCCCAAGAACCAGACAATGCCACGGCGTTCACTTGGCCGCAACAGCGCCACCCCAGAGGCGGGAAGGCCAGAGGAGGAAGTCCGGTTTAGCGCTTTGCAGACCGGCTCGAGGGTGCGGGGCGGAAAGCTATGGGCCACAGAGCGACTGAGGCGGCGCAAGCGCACTTCGGCGCTGCGAACAGTCCTCCGCAATCCGGGCACTCGCAGAGCCGTTCGTCCCTTCCCCCACCCGCAGCCGTCACCCCGCGCTGCGCAACAAAGCCAGGCTGCCGGGCCGCAGGCCTTCGCGTCACCCGGCTACAGGGAGGAGAGAACGGAAAAAACACCTCACCTTTCCTCGGTTTCTGGGGCCCGAGGGCACAACTCTCTCAAGACTGCCTGTGGCTCCGGCCTTCCACAGACACTCGAAAGAAACGCACCCAACCAGCATGGAGGCGGCGGCGAAATGGCTCCGACGGCCGCACAGGGGCGTGGTTAGCTCACGTACGCATGCGCAGACGGCGAGCGTGGGCGCGGGCGGGTAGACGCTCGGAGGGTGGGCGGGGCTGCGGCGGCCCAGGCATTGGCTCGTGGTCGCCCGGTGGGTGGGCTGCGCGGGACTCGCGGCATATCTGCACGGCTTACGCCCTTAATGCACTGGCCACTTTTGAAGATTTTTAGGGTGGTGAGGGAGCCTTAGCATGTTGACGGAGCAAGATGTTTTCTAGTTTGTGTCATAGGGACCTTTGCTGACAGGGCCGCCCTTTGTGCACGAGTGAAAATTCGCTGATTTCCCAAGTCTGTTCTGATGGTTAAATACAACGACGACGACATAGACCCTGACACATAATCTGTGCTCAGTTCTTGGTACTGAACGTTACTGTTAGTAATTTATATACTCTGAACTCTTCATAAGGAAATAAACTCGGGGACGGCAGGACCCGACTGGCTCAGCAAATGGTTGAATACAACCAGCAAGGTCTTTTCTGCGAAAATTGAATCTCCTTTTTGTCTTCAGTCTTTGGGATATTTTCTCTCCCTAATTATGTAACCCACTGTCGTCAGTTGATGGTGATTCACATCGACTCTTTAAGAGAGCTTCAGACACCGGAATCTTTACCAGAGCCAGTCTCATCTTTCTCCCAGTGGGCTGGAATAATCAGATACCTTCATTAGCACCTCAGTGCCTAACGCACAGCGCTGTGGCGCTCCTTTGAACTGTGTAGTTAAAATGGTAGACTCTAGTGCTTCCGCAAAAGGAAACAACATGAAGTATTTTCATGGTGACAATGTTTCAAAGACGTAAATCTGCCAGGGCATCACACTCAACCATCCTTATTTCTCATAGTTACTAGTTAATTTGTATCCTTAGCCATCCTTATTTCTCATTAGTTACTAGTTAATTTGTATCCTTAGCCATTCCAGCTTATAGTGACCAGCCCCTTTTTCAAAACTCTTTTGCATTTATAATGTGAGCAACATGAGGAAAAGACCTTAATGTGCATTTAACTTTTTGCCCCCTCTACAATGCTTATTGATGGTGTGGATGATCTTGATAAGGGAGGTGCAACAAGTATAGATGAGTTTCAAGAGTTTTGTAGTAGATAATGAGCACAGTAAAAGTGTCATTAACTATGGGCCTCTACTTAAATCTTACCTCAGTACAAAAACAGTTTGTCCTAATAATGTGGCGCCTGTATGATACCTTCCAGACATGATCGCTTGAAGGCAAAACGGACGCATAAGTAAATATAGTGAAGAAAGCTGATGGTGCCTGGCTATCAAAAGATATAGCATATGGGGTCTTAAAGACTTGGAGTTAAACAAGTGGCCATCTAGCAGGGAAGCAACAAAGCCCATATGGAAGAAGCACATCGGCCTGTGTGTCATGAAGTGTCAACAGGAATAGGTATCAGAAATTCAAAAACAAGCATACAAATTGATGAGTGTGGACAAAGTGGAGACCCAAAACCCACCTGTAAGATAAGGGTAGTCCGTCACAGAAGGGATGATAAATCTAAGGTGCTGTATAGCACTGATGAAGCACATAACTATCCTCTAGTTCTTTAATATTTCCTCCTCTTACTATTATGGTCTTTGTTTTACCTGATTAATCTTGTTAGACCTCTGTATGTTCATTTGTATAATTAATATCATTTGATACATGAAAACCAAGATAGATAACCCTTCAGAAATAGTAATGGGAGTAATGATTCCCTGAGAATATGGGAAGAAAGGGGGGCAGAGGGAGCTGCTAGCAAGGATGACTGCACAACCCCACTCAAGGGGAGCAAAGAACAGATTCGTAGGTGGATGGGGTAAGATATGGTTAAACAACAAATGATAATAATAATATATAAGAATAATAATAAGAGTTCTTGGGTAGGGTGGGGGGGGAGGAGATAAAGGGGAGCTGAAAACAGATCAAGAAGAACGAAAATGTTTGGAAACTGATTGTGGTACCAATCCTACAATTATGCATCATCTAATTGAACCATGGACTGTTATAATATCTGTAAGAGCTCCCAATAAAATGATTTAAAAAGGTGTCATTAAACTTTCAGAAGGGAATCTTATTCTAGGGGAGAAAAAGAGATCCCAAATTCAAACATAATTCATAGAGACACCTATAATAAGGCTAAGTATGAGTACCCTGTTTGCAGAGGCTGTGGAAGACAGTGAAAGCCCAAAATCCACTGGCAGAGACCCAGAGTCGCCAATGACTTAAGCCCCCGTTGAACTTCTGATAATATATTGACCAGGGTTGTGTACATTGGACAAAGGATTACCTTCACTCCCCACGCCAGCCAGGGAGGGGCAGCCTCCTTCGGGGACTTGCCCGGGTGTGCCCTGGATGGGGAAGCACCGGTGGCACGGTGGAAGACCTGTTGGGCTGCTGGCTGCATTGTCAGCAGTTTGAAACCATCAGCAGCTCTAAGGGAGAAAGGCGAAGTTTTCTGCTCCTATAAAGAGTTACCGTCTCAGAAACCCACAGAGGCAGTTTGACCCTGTCTTTCAGGGTCTCTGAGTTGGAATTAACTCAATGGCAGTGAGTTTGGTCCTTCATGGAGATCACCCTGCGGAGGGTGGCATAGTCATGAGTGAGACCTAAACTGCCTTTGTCAGAAGGCCCTGGACCAATCTTGTAATCTGTTTTGTGTAACAATGTGTGTGTCCCAATTACGGCCCCTTTCTTACTGCTGTAGTCCCATCTGTCACTGTGATGCATTGATCTGTGGCCAATCATGAATCTGTGACAGTTTCTCTTGTCCAATGCCCTATTTTTTTAAGACAGTTTTATTGGCACATAATGTACATATCAAACAATTCAATAGTACAATCGTTCACTCATTTCAAGGATCCAATGCTTTATTTAAGTGGCTGCCTGAGTAAAATCTTGGACACCATTATGACCTTGTGGTGATGGTCTCCCTCATCCAGATAATGTGTCTTTGTCTTGTCTTTGTCTGCTTTAGACAAAGAACGTTCTCTTAAATTATTTTTGAGACTTGGGGTCTCTTTTATTTATTCATTAAAAATCATTTTATTGGGGGCTCTTACAGCTCTTATAACAATCCATATACCAAATGTATTGAACACATTTGTACATATGTTGTCATCATCATTTTCAAAACATTTTCTTTCTGCTTGAGCCTTTGGTATCAGCTCCTTTTATGTCCCTACCTCGCCCACCCTCCCACCCTATCTTATGCCATCCTGTCTCCCTTCACTACGCTTGGTTATTCGTCCCCCTGGAGGTGGCTGGGGTGTTATACTTCAATCTTTGTATTTGGTTCCCCATTTCTCCCCCTTCTCTCCCCACCTCCTTCCTACCCTCAGGGTATCACTACTCTCATTACTGTTCCTGAGGGGTTTAACTGTCCTGGATTCCATGTGTCCAGAGTTCTTATCTTATCTGTACCAGTGTACATGCTTTTGTGTAGCCGGATTTGTAAGGTAGAACTGGGGTCATGATAGTGGGTGGAGAAAGCATTAAAGAACTAGAGGATTGTTGTGTGTTTTGTTTGTGCTATGCCACACCCTGGCTGGTTTATCCCTTTCTTGTGAGCCCTCTGTGAGTCTTAACCACGAGGACCCTAGTCCTCAAAGTTCCATCAAAAGCACACCCAGGCAAGTTCCTCAGGGTGTTGCTGCCCCTCCCAGGACTGGCTAGGGTAGTGGTATTAATCCGCTTTCTAACACTCTTTGCCTGAAGGCTAAGCTGTACCTGTTGCCTGTTAATGGCCAGAAAGAACTGGACGAGGCTATGTGGAGCCTCAAATATGAATTTTAGCACTATCACTGCAAACCATAGCCTTCCACAAACTTAGTGCTCAGAATTGAAGCTAAATCTGTCAGAGATCAAGGAGAAATTTGTCATTGAGTTGGTTCTTAATTTAGACTTTGAATCCCTTAGGATTCAAAGAATTTAGGATTGAATCCCTTAACTGGCATTACCTTTATGGTTGCCTTGGCAACTAACACCTTCTAAGATCTTCTTTAACATTTGCAGATTAAACCTCAAAATACTCAACTGCTCCCCAAGTACAGCGAGTGACTAACTATAAATACAGAGGACATCAATGCACGGTGGGGATTTTTTTTAAGCTTATAAAGAAAATCATTCATGTTCTTTTAAAGATTTGTAACAGTTTTATTGACATATAATGCACCATCTTACAATTTAATAGTTTAAACATATTAATAAGTTGTGCAATCATCACCACAATCAATTTCAGTGCATTTTCTTCTTTCTGGTACTCATTATTATTAGCTCTCCCTTTTCTCCCAACCTCCCTTCCATTACCTCAAGAAGCTATTAATTACTGTCTCTATAGATTTACCTATTCTGCATTTCATTTAAAGAAAAACACAAAAACAAAACAATGAAAAACAGAAAAGTCTCAGCCAAAAAAGTAACAGAAAATAATAAAAACTAGAACAAATTTTAAATGGATCAAAAGGGAGAACATATGATAAGGTGGTACATTTTATCCGAATACATCAGCATTAGCCCACTTTCCAATGTACTCTGTGAGGTAGAAAGCTACTCACACACTTGGTCAATGGCCAGAGGGGTCACCAGAGGCAGAGGACTCTGCAAACCTATCTTGGGCTTTCGCTGCGATCCATGTCCTTCTGCACACCGAGTGCGCAAAATGTAAGTCCTAATACAGTTCCTTCCTCTGATCTTAGATTTTGTTTACAATCCTTGGATCGCACAGGCTGGTGTGCTTCTGTGTGGACTTAGCTGTCACCTCACTTAGATTGTTTCTTGTTTTAAGATAAGCATTTAAGAGCCCAGGTGCTGTTTTCTCTAATGGCCAGGCACCAACTGATTTTCTCACCACACTTTGCTGCAGCACCCATGACTTCAGTGATCTCTTCATGAGGGTGAGTATTGCTGCATGAGAATCTAGAAATAAGGTGACAGGTCAAATAATGAAAGCTC